TCTAACCAATGTCATGATTTAATCTAATTGTATTCTTTGTTTCTTCAAATTTATCTTTTATATATTTGTTCATTCTCCACAAAATCTTTACATTTTTGCCTATATAATGAAACAACATCAAATATTTTACAACAATCGCTTGTACTCATAAATTTTACAACAACAACAATGTTCACTCTTCTTTACATTTCTCCAATTTGTCAATCACATGTTCATAAAATAACATAAAAAATAACTCTAAAAAGTTAACAAAACAAAAGAACAAACACATAATCAACCTACAACATTAAAATAAAAATAAAAATTATAGCACCCCAAATGTAGAGACCCCATAGTGTAGCACTCTCCGCTGGAGCAATTGTTTTAGGGCTCCAAAGATTCTCATTGATCTCTAAATGGGTCTCCAAATGGAGTGTGTTGAGAGGTTCAATCCAACCGTCCAATAATAACTTTGTAATTGATAGGATGGCTACTAAGGACCCCCTTATTATAACCTCTCACAGTAACCCCTCGTTACAGTCTCTCAGCCATTATGAATGCTCTAATCAAATTGCAGGTGAGGCCAAGAAACAAGCCTTGCCCGGAGAGAAAGCTAGTGAGGCAATGGCCCTGCGTGTCTTATTTAAGTTAATAATAGGACTTGCAAATTAAGTCGATTATAAAGACACACACAAACATCTTAGACTAAACTAGCCCAAGTCAAAATGGCCCAACATTTTGAGTTTTTCCCATTACCCAAATACTCAAATACTTGAATGTCCATTAATTAAAGGAAAATTTGCACAAATACCACATGAATTACAGGGTGTGTGCCACCAAGACTCATCACCATGGAGCATTGTACCACCTGTCTTATAAGTTACATTCCATCCGCTTCTCCGTTAGTCACATGGGGTCTTTTCTTAAGGGAAATTTCGTCTCTTTATTTCCCAACCCTCTCTACTTCACACGTTTTCTCTCTCTTTTCCTCTCACTCCTTCAGTTGTCTCTCTTTAAACACATCAACAACTTTCCCAAGAAAAATCCAAGACTCGAACACATGAATAACCATTATAGGGGAAAAAATGAAGTGAGAAATGACAATGGTTTTTCTAGTTATGCCTTGGATTTCTTATTTCCCATTTTTTGGATGATTTGTATGAGAATGGTGTTGTAGGGGAAGCCTCACCTTTTGGGGTTATGTACCAGTTTTGGGTCTCCGAATTTGAGGGGAGAGGATTTGGTGTCCCCAATTTCATCCCAAGTATCGTGAGATAATGAGTTATTTTCTATGAAAAACAAAAAATGAAGTAAGGCTAGAGATAAAAGCATAATTGCCCTTGCATCGTGATAGTAGGTCTAGCCAAGAACTCCAGCAAGCTTGACTCTCTTCAACACCCACCTTGGATGAGTCATGGGCATTATCTAAGGCCCTTGGATGAGGCCTTATTTCTTAACCGTTGAATTAAACTAACCAATTTGATTCAACAATTAAGACATAGGGTCTCATATAAAGGCCTTAGATAAGGCCCTCCCTATAGAATTCTACTACCTTGGATGCAACAAGTTGCAAAAGTGCTCTAAGCCACACACATATTTTTTTAATTTAAGAATAAGCAATAATATTTTTTGATAAATTAGTTGCCTTAATAAATACCATACTTGTGTGGCCTGGAGCACTTGTGTTATAAGATATTGCATAAGTCACATGTGTTATGTCATTATGATGGCATCCATTCCTGTGTAATTTATCCCATTGATTTGGTTTATGTTGAGAGTTTTGTCTCACATTGAAAAGTTGAGAGATCTGAAATGAGCTCTTAAGAAATTGAGTTATTCTCCTCGTCAATTGAATTTGAGGTGTTACTTCAATTTCTGTCATGGTATCAGAGCAAAACGGCCCCACGCCTGCTTTCACCTTATCTCTCCATAAATCGAGTGTTGTTTGGCGTTGCGAACTTGCGAGACTTTTCCTCCCACTGTTTTTCCTCCTCTTATACGTTCTTTTTTTTAAGGTGAGACCCAAGGGTATCCACCGCCGACAGCAGTGACTAATCCCTTTCGCCGCGGGAGCTCTCCCAATGGAGGTAAACGGCTGGCCATGAAATGCGCTCCATTCCCATGGACGGGGATCGAACCCCCAACCTCATAGTTAAGGAATGAGGTGAGCTACCACCACACCACATCTCATGGTTTCCTCTTATACGTTCTTCGAATACACCAAACCCCATTCAATTGGAAAACGATAAGAAAGTGCAAGATGTACATTTTGTATAAACAGCAAGGGCCCTCTTTATTTAATTATCACGTGCAAAACATAAAAGTTTCACACAGAGTGCTGCTTTCTTATTCATGACTTGACTTCAATGAAACATAAAAGTTTCACACAAAATGTGGCATAAATTTTGCGTGACATGATAATTTGCTCCTCCATATGGCTTAGAGAGCTAGCTAGCTTAGCTTCAAACCCTGCATACAAGAGAGATCTTTTAAATAAATAAAAATTCGGAAGAAAAAGAAAGAGGAATAAATAAAACTTGATGGTAATTTGCATGAATGAAACAGATGCCTTGTTGCTGAAGAAAATATAGATAGGGAAACTAATGTGGTGGGTGCTTACTGATTATACTCAATCGTGATCTTGCCAGCGTCGGGGTTAGCAATGGTGGCAAAGGCTTCCTGAGAGAGATCGAGCGTTGCTTGGCATCCAGGAGAAGGACAGAGATCCACAATTTTAACCACAACGCTGGTACCCTTGCAAGGTTGTGGCACACCTTGGTTAGTAGCGCCGGTGCATGTTACTCTGTAGCTTCTTCCACAAGCAGCTTTATTGTTAAAAATGGGAGCGCTTGCTGCAGCAATCATCACACCATCGTTTTGATATCCGTTGCATGAGGAGGCTGCAAGTCCATCAAAAATGCACACGCATAATTAAGAGGCTTTATTTTGATTAAGAACTCATGAGCATAAACTATTAGTAAAGTGAGAGCATATTGCTAAGTAGAGGCACTGGCAAAACAAGCCAATGAGCACCAGTTTTCCTTTTGGAAACTAATTTAGCTTGTGACATTCAAAAACTACCAAGAAAAACTTGTATACTTACGAACGTAAGGAGGCGTGTAAAAAGTGGCTGTTCCCTGCTCTGCATATGCGGCCGAGGAAAGCCATACAACCATGGCCACCACCACAATGAGAACTCGCATTTCAAATGCCATTAAATCTTTCTCAAACAAATAACTTTTAATAATTATTTCTAGTGCAGTATTTTGTGAAGTAAAGTAGAAGGCTCCCCTCCTTTTTATAGAGCAAACGTAGGTATAGCTAGATACTGTACCTTATATCCATCGTCATGTTGCGTGTCACATTATTTTTTGTCCTGGCTGCGTCAATGCCAGTCTTTTTCTTTTTGGCAATGCCAGTCTTCGCTGTCATCTTTGAAAATATTAGAGCCACCAATGGAAACCAATAATATTTTGTTGTGCAAGGAATACGCCAGTTATTGATTCCTTTTATTTTGTCTTTGCGTAGGAAAAGTAGAAAATTATTTTCATATACAACAGCGATTGCCCCAAATTATCGCGCATGCAATTTTTGGTCACGCCAAAGAGGCAGAAGATTGCGGACAAAATTCTTCTTTATCAATCCCCTATTTTCTACATGCTTTATTTCTTGTAAGGCCCAGTTTGGGATTGTTGTCATTTAAAAAGAAAGTTGTTTATGTTGTACTTTGAAAATAATTAGCTATAAAGTAAAGTAGCTCCATGTTTGATAAACAATATTTTTAAAGTGTTGTTAGTACAAAAAGCAATGTCAAAACCGTTTGGTAATTTTTAATATAAAACTGTTGTAACTGTGAATAATGACTAAAATAGACATGATGTTGAAAGTGTTATGTGCTAATCATGTGGTGGTAGTGGTGGTAATGGAGTGGAGGTGAAAGTGAAAGAGATGGAGGTGAAGGTGGTGGTGGTGGTGGTGATGAAGGTGGAGTTAGTGGTTGTGGTAGTGGATGTGGAGGTGGTGGCGGAGGATGAGAGGAGGAGGTGGATGTGGTGGTGGTGTCATTTTTTTAAATGAATAATGGTATTTTGAGAATTAAAAAAATTCATTAAAGGCTCATTTCTGCTTCTTTTGAAAGCAGCTTTGAAAAGCAACCCAAAACCTGCTTTTAAAAGGCCACTGCTTTCAAAATAATCATGATATTTTATTTTTACCAAACACCTTAAACTGCTTAACTTTAAAGTGAAGCATATTTTTTTGCGAAAAAAAGCAATCTCAAACAGGCCTATGTCAACTTTTCCTATTTGGAATTGTTGATCTCAAAACAAGACTAGTCCTAGTGTTTGGAAAATTCAAGGGAATGATAAAGTTTTGTGGACCATCTAGCTAGCTTGTGGATGAGGAGTCTTTATGGAGAGAAACTCTCATGCAACGGGATATCACATTTTGCTATTCTCGGCAATTAACACAATGACATGTGATATAACTTTTACACGTGTCATGGTTATTGGTTAGGGATAGTAAAATAGTGTTTCCCCGTTATAAGTAAGTTTTTTTCATCTTTATATGGCCTCCGTTGGTAGCTTCCAGGTAGACGTATCTATAGACTATGGGGTTTTTTAAGTATCTATGCAATTTTCATTTTTTATAAATTCCCGGATCTACACGCTTATTTCTTGGCCTGTTTCGAATTGAAGATTCCAAGTCAAGACTAGACCTACGGTTTGAAAAATTGAAGAGACTGAAAAAGTTTGGTGCATGGATGGATTGACGAACCACTTGTTCAACTATGACTATCGACAGAAGTTTCTAACATTTAAATTCCAAGCCAAATTTTGTTAAAAAAAGAAGGTCAAATTATGATTTTGTTAGCTGTAGTTTCGGTGAAGTTCAACTTAATCATTGTAGTTTGGAACTTTTTGCAATTCTAGGCTCGTAAGTTACTATCCAAGGATCAAAATTTGATTCAATTGATGAACCATGAGATGTTTTAAACTGAAAAATAATAACTTAAGGGCCTTCTTTATTTAATCATATAATCATATATTTATAACATCAGCTCATCACATGTGAAACATAATTACAGTTTCATACAGTGTTTGCTGCTTTAATTATTCCAGTAAAAGTGGCCTCTTCCTTCTTAGTCCTCGTGACTTTATTCTTAGAGAGCTTCAAACCCTGCATTCCATAAAAAATTAAGGAAAATTAAATTTGAACTCATAAGTTTCATATACATGATAAACTTTACTTAGGAAAAAAAAATCATTAGAGAGTGTTAATATGTGCTTACTGAGTATAACTAATCTTGATTTTGCCGGCGTCGGGGTTAGCAATGACGGTGAAGGCCTCTTGAGAGAGATCAATGGTTCCTCTGCATCCGGGAGGACAGTAGTCGACAATTTTAACGACAACGCTGGTTCCCTTGCAAGGTTTCGGGACACCTTGGTTAGTGGCTCCGATGCATGTCACTCTGTAACTTCTTCCACAAGCTGCTCTGTTGCCCCAAATGGCATCGCTTGCTGCAGCTATCATCACTCCATCATTTTGGTATCCGTTGCATGAGGAGGCTGCACGTCAACGAGAAAATTATTAAGGGATGTATAATTAGGGGTTCTCTTTTGATATAGGATCAACTTGGATTCTGTTTGTCTTCATGAAATGTATAGGTTGATTTATCAACGGGTGAACTAACTAAATTTATTAGTTTAAAATTAATCTAATGATATTTTTTTTTGTACTTATATTATAGTCTTTCTAGAAATAAAAGTATACATTAAATTATATAAATCACTCTAGTTCATAGCTCTTTTTTTACTCATTTCCAATAAACTTTAATATAAAACAAATACATATTAAAAGCAACCAAAAAACACATATTATCAAAATTGAAATATGTCAACATAATTCAAAGTGTACATATTTTAATGTGTATTTTTATTATTGCCTTGCAACTAAATGCATATAGAATTGAATTTTTTTGAACTTTAATAAGTTAATACATACTAGGATATATTTAATACAAATCAAATATATAAGTTTGATTTTTTTTCCCTAAAAAACCACTCTGATTATGGCCCATTGCAGCCCATAGTGCAGTTTCGCCATCTTATTACACCTCCATGCACCTTCTATTAGAATGAGTGCTGTTATTTATACCTTTTGTCCTATTTTCCCAACCAATTTATCTTTAAAATATTAAAGATAAATTTACTCATTTTTCGTCAAAAAAAAAAAGACAAAAAAAAAAGACAAATTTACTCATTTAAAAAATAACTTCTAAAGATTTAGAGAAAAAAATATTAAAACATTTAAAATAAATTAAAAAAATAAGAAAAAGATTATACAAAAAAAAAAGTAAAAAGATTAACCCCACCCCACTCTCTGTCTCTTCGCCTCCACCCACCCGCTCGGCCCTCCTCCTCTTTTTTCCCTCCTCTGTTTCGTCAACAGTCACCAACCCACAAACCACCTTCGCAAACAGACCCTTAGCACCAGATTTTCGGAGTCACCCCACAATCAAAAGATCCCAAGCAGACCCACCCCAAAATTTTCAATATCAATAATATGAAAGGACCTTTGATTGAGATTTAAATCAGCCCAACAATTCTAGGGTCTCAAATGTCTGCACCTCTCAACAGAGAGAGAGAGAATGGAGAACAACATCTGGGTTGGGTTCGGGTGCTAGGCGGTGGGTCTGATGGGTGGGGTGGGACGACAGCACTAGCACATGTTGTTTGAGTATTTTTATATTGTTTATTAAATTTATTTAATAATATATTTTTATTTACTTGATGGGTGGAAAAATAATGAGTATTTAAAAAAATAATAGTGGGTGAAAAAATAGTCCAACAAATAATATAGTGAAATCATTAGATGGTAATCAGATGGCCAAAATTTCAGATTTGACTTATTATTGGAAATAAAATAAGCTTCTAGTAAGTTTTTTTTTTTTGGGTCAGAAAGAGATTCCATTAAAGATGAAATATTACGAGTTATTTACACTAACATCTCCTTAGATTTTTTATTTTTTCACAAAATTCCCTCATGTTTTCAGCTCTTTTTGAGTTATTTACAGTAACACCCACTCAAGTTTTAGATTGTAATCACAAAACCCTTTTTTGTTGATTGTTCATCCAAAACTTGATGATTTCATTTTGAAAAAAGGATGCAAATGACAAAATCAACGTCAATGAATATATGTGCAATCTAATATGAAAGCCTAACTTTGTCATTTGGAAATTTTTTTATATAAAATCATCAATCTTTGGACCACAAAGGTAGCTCCACAAAATGAGCTCAATAAAATAAGAATCGTCTTGGGACCACCCTGTAATGCAATTCAATTATTAAAATTGACACATATAATTTGCTCCATAATCCTTGTTACAAATATTATCCAAATATGTAATTTTTCGGCCATCTAAACTTAGGAACAAATACAGTCTGCCAGCTAGAACTGATGAAGTGATTTTGATGGTAGTCAATGGCAAAAAAGCTTTTGATTTTGTTAATTTTCTGCAAAGATGATCATGCGAAGATAACATATATCATTGAAAATAGACTGAAAAAAGTATTTTCACATAATTCTCCTATGATCACATATGATACATAGACACATATATATAAGGGAAGCTGTAATTTCTCCTACACTATAGCCGTATCAAAATCAAATAAAATAGCTGTCTGCTATTAGTTTACTTTCCTTGTATATATTGTTGACATTCTCTAGTTACCAGCCATTTTTTGACAAACTACACTGGTAGACTATCAATATGAACTTCTTGTTTTTTGTTTTGTTTTGTTATTATTACAAGTGATAGTCTAAACTAAAGAGGGAGGGGGGTTTCACACACACACACGAGTTCGAACTTGAGACCTCTAGTCTGCAAGTCAAGGCTCTTTTCCACTAGGCTGGTCCCTATGGCAATTACTAATGTGTGGGGCATGTCAACATTTGAACAGTGCAACGTTTTGACCTATTCGGCAAAACATTATTGCCCAGACTTGGAACAAGCCCCCCATCAATGAAAGGTAGCCTAGGCAAAAATGGACCCCATTTACCTATCTAGCCCAAAGGTAAGAATTGCCTGAGTTACTGCTTGGGTTGATTGATCTCATGTTGACATAAAAAGGAAAAAATACCAAAATATTCAGAATTTTTTTTTTCTATAAATACCTAACCATGTTCTTCACTTCTCACACCAAAACTTCATACAAATTCCTCTCCTCATATCTAATGCGAATAGTGCTCGCCTTTACTTGCCATGCAATGGGTGGAAAAGTAAAATAAAACAAGGTAGGGCAGTCACTATTCACATAAATAGTGTCTGCCTTTTGCCATGGCACCATGGGTGGAAGTGCTCTAAATACAGTTGCGTTAGTGGAGCCCACCAATACAATGGGGTTCACCTCTATTAGAGAAGTGGTACACAAGGTGGTATATAAATGTGGTATGACTAACATTTTCCTATATACATTTATACAAACACATGTGGTATGCCTAGCATTTTCCTATATACATATAAACAAACACATTATATATAAGAGGGTAAAATGGTAAAATTTCAAGCCTTTTAACATTTTACTAAACCCTCATCAATTTATATTATAAAACTCATATGAAACTGACACAGGTTGAAATTGTTTCGAATAAACACACTAATTGAATCATTCCGAAAGATATAGGACAGTCGATTAAACAAATTTCTCCTACTCTTTGAAACCTAATTAAGAAATTAATGTAATACTCAGATTAATGAAGCTTTGCACATCAGCTTAAAGAAAAGATAGCAGCCATGAAGGCCATCTTCTTTACGTTCCTCTAGCATAAGAATACCAGCAGGAGTATTGAGCTGATGTTAAAGAATGATGTTAAGAATACCAGCAGGAGTATTGAGAACATATTAGGTTTAAGAATAACTCATGAGCCAACATGCCGCCTCACCAGAGCAAAACTGGTTGTGTAAAAACACCAGTTTTCCTGTGAGGAACTAGTTCAGCTTGTGATAATGTATTCGAAATGGCGAAATAATATACTTACGAACATAAGGAGGTGTATAAAAAGTGGCTGTTCCCTCGGCTGCATATGCGGCGGAGGGGAGGCATATAGCCATGGCAAGCACAAGGAAAACTCGCATTTCCAATCCCATTGTTTCCAGACCAAATAACAAGTATGTGTTAGCTAGTCTGCAATATTTTGTGGAGCAAAACTAAAGGCTTCGTCTGTGATGAGCAAAAACAAAAATTCTTCTCTCCATTTTATAGAAGAAATGTAGAAAAAGCCGATCGTCATGTTTCATGCGTCACAATACTTTCTATATATCTAACTCAAGGGGTCCAATGTCCTCACTTCTTCTCTATAGAGCTATCTACGACAATAATAGAGTGGTCGCAGAAGAATATGCCAATTGATTCTTTTTTTAATAAAGGCTTAAATGTCGAAATGGTCCCTGTATTTTACCTTATCGGCCAATTTAGTCCCCGTGTTATTAATTTGGCCAATTTAGTCCCCGTATTTGTATCTATTAACAAATTTGATCATTTCCGTCAAAATTATATTAAAACCTAAAAAAAGGACATTTAAAATTAATTTAAAAATCTGTACTAAATTATAAAGATTTAAACTCAAATAATAATAATGCTAAAATGATTAAAACCCACACAACCTCAACCTCCAATGGTCTTGATTCCTGTAGGAAAAAAAAAAGGTTCTTAGTTGAATTGATGCCTGCTCTTTTCTTGCTGCAATTTTTCTTCTCTCTCTCTCTCTCTCTCTCTCTCTCTCTCTCTCTCTCTCTCTCTTATGTTTTAGATTTTCTCATACTCTACCCTTCATCTCTCTCTCCTCTCCGATCCATTGGCCTAAATGTCGTCGACTTTTGCTGCAACGAGGATGATCAATTTGCAATAGAGCCATCAAGGTTATAGTGACCGGCTATGAATATCTTAGTGATTTGTCAGAGAGAGAGAGAGAGAGAGTTGTTGTGGTTTAGGTGGGGTTGGAATGGTGGTGAGGGTGGCTGTGGGTTTGGGGTTGGAGTGGTGGTGGTGAGGGTGGCTGGGTTTGGGAGGTGGTTGAGGTGTGTGCGTGAAAATGGAGAAGGTGAAATTTTAAAAATATATATTCCATTTTCAGATTGAATTTAAAATTTTATAATCAATTACAATTTTTTAAATTAATTTTAAATATTTTATATTTTATATTTTTAAGGGAATGGACCATATTGACTAAAATATACAAACACAAGGACCAAATTGGCCAAATTGATAACACAGGGACTAAATTGGCCTATGAGATAAAACGCATGGACCATTTTAACATTTAATCCTTTAATAAATTGAGGTTAGACAAAAAGTCCCAGTTTAATACACTTATCATCAACTGTGATTGCACAAAAGTCTCGTATTAAAGAGGGTTGGCCAGTGGCCAATAATACTTCTTGAGTTTAAAAAAAAAAAAAAAGTTTTTCTCCTATGCAGACCTTCAGATGTTATTACCGTGCATGCGCCATATATTTTTTACTACCCCTCCCTACTTTCCTCCATGTTTACAATGACGTCCGGACATTACAAAAGTAGTAAAATGATTATTTTCCGAGTAATTCTATGTGTGTATGTATCACATTAAATAATTGTATATTGTTTGGGATTTTTAAAAGAATTTATTACTCATATTGCTAACCACATCACATTAGATGCAGCTAACACATTAGGAGAAACCATAGTTTAAACCTTGATTTCAACGATTTTAATTATGCGTTGTCATATTCAGGGCCGGCCCTTGGCCAGGGCAACCAGGGCCACCGCCCGGGGCCCACGATTGAGAAGGGCACAAAAAAAATTTATATTAGCTTATATATATGCATATGATCAGACAACAAAATATATATGTATATATATGCAAAACAAAATTATAAGTGCTCATAAAAAAATAAAATAACTAAAAGTAATGGGTATGGCTACATTATATTGCCCCTATGCTCAACTGGTGTACATATTACCTTATTTCCATTTTCAACATTTAAGTAAATGTCTTTGTCCTTTTACTTTCATTTATTTTTATATTACTCCATTTACTTAAGTTTACAATGTAAATAAGGAAGTACCCC